CGGCTGCGCCTGGGCACGCTTCAGGTGGCCTCAGTTCTCCCATTCCTTGTGCCTGGGGCTTCCTGGCTGCTGACTCGGGGTCTGCACCAGCGGAACCGAGGTGGAATTTAGGTCATCGGAATAACGGTGCAGCATCCAGCTGCTGCGCCAGCAGATTTCTTACCACCCCTGCTAAGCAGGAGAGGCCTGTTTATGCGCTAGTGACCTCTTGCACTTTCTCATGACTTCTCCTGTCTTCTCCTCTTCCCCAGCCTCTTGCATGACCCCTCCCGCAGATTTTTGGCCTCTCAGCTGAACGTGTTCGCTGTCGTATGGCTTTTTACCGAGCCGTAAACACTTTGCGTAGAGAATTTTGCTTTCTTCAAAGATCTGTGTCTTGTTTTTAAGATGCTGTTTTACTCAACAACGTAGTCCAGAACTTTGGGATGCTGGATCTGGTCAAGAAGGTCCTGGCCAGCCACAAGTGTCAGATGGATCGCTCGAGGGAGCAGTACGCGCGGGATTTGGCAGGTAACGCCCCCCAGGACGCGCCGGTGCTCTGGCACTGGCCATCACCGCCGGCGCCTTTTCTCTCTGTGTTAGAAAGTGGGGTTTGGGGTAAAGCTGGTGCGCGCTAAAGCAGCTCCAGGCCTTGCCGCGGTCGCTGGGAAGCTCGTGCCGGGGCTGAGCTGACCCTCCTCTCTCTGCAGCTCTGGAGCAGCAGTGCGACGAGCACCGCAAGCGAGCGAAGGAGCTGAAGCACAAATCGCAGCATCTCAACAACGTCCTGATGACCCTCACGCCCGTCTCTGTCCCCGCGCCTTTAAAACGTCCCAGGTTGACCAGGGCCACCTCCGGACCAGCTGCCATCACCTCCCAAGTCCTGTCCCAGCCGGCGCAGCTCGCCGTCACCCCCGGCGTGCCCGTCTCCCAGCTTGCCAGCCTCCCTCTCGGCAAAGTGGTCTCGACCCTCCCGCCCTCGGTGCTGGGGAAGAGCCCGTCCCAGCCTCCCGCTGCCAGCTCGCCAGCCTCCCCGCTGCTGGGGGGCTACACGGTACTGGCCTCCGCCGGCTCCACCTTCCCCGGGACGGTGGAGATCCACCCGGACGCTTCCAACCTGACGGTGCTGAGCACGGCCGCGGTGCAAGACGGCAGCACGGTGGTGAAGGTGGTGAGCCCCTTCCAGCTGCTGACGCTGCCGGGACTCGGCACGACCATCCAGAACGTGACACAAATGGCTCCCGGCGGGAGCACGGTCGTGACCGTCCCACCCGGTGCCGCCGAGGCCGCCGGGGATGAGCACGCCGCCGCCGCCGCCATCGAGGTGACCGC